AGCAAGCTGGAAATTGTTGAATTCGTGCCAGCAAGGATTGATTTTTTTTTTAGGTATGGATGAGGATGAACAAATATTCCTTGTAGCAGATGACATGGTGGACTACTGAAGTGAGTCATTTAGTAGACTGGAACATGTTTTGTGCCCTGCGCAATTCATCTGAACTTAATAAATGCTGGTAGCTGGAAACACAATGAAAAATATATGTATATATGGAAGTACATTTTAACTGTAAATATTACTAGAATTAAAATGCTATGAGCAACAATACTACAAAATAAAAGCTTAAAGTTGCTTTTTCTTTATTTCACATTGATGAACACAGGAGAAAAAACTTAGTTTTGAAACACCTGGAATTTGTTTATGTCTCAGATTTACTTTATCTTAAAATGTTTTGAGAAAGGTCACTGATTACTATTTCTGTGTCCTGGCAGTTTTTGAAGGCATAAATACTTTTCATTTGTTTGCATGCACACCTTTACTGCCCAGAACTGAGCTCCAGTCAGTGCACTAGAGAGTGAACACGCACAGGTTTTCTTCCCCCATTCTCAGGCTCCTCTGGTAGCCTCTACAGATTTAGTACAGCCTTCATGGTAGAGGGTGGTACCTTGTTTATTGCTCATCGTTTCTCTCTCAGATACATAGGTAACCTAGCAAGCCCACACTATGCTTATCATATATGCTCCTTGACAGTTTTTAATTACTCAGGTGTTATTTCCTGCAACTGTAAATCTATTTCATATTTTGGTGGGATTTTTTCTTTCTCTGGGGTAGCCCAATTATGAAAAGATTTATAAAGAGGAGGAATTTCTTCTTTTAATTCTTGAAGAGCTCAGTTAGACTCTTGAGGACCTCACCTTCTTGGGTAATTTTCTGAAACAGAACAGAGATTGGAAGAAAACTTTTGAATTGTCTCGCTCCCTGCATTTTTTGTCAGCCATACAGTAGATGTTTTATTCAGAAGAGTATTGTAAGACATTTACTTCAGAAGCTCCTATAGGCCACAAAACACTTCTTGAAGTGATGCAAGACATAGGGCTAATAAAGGGACTTGTCAATTTTTAATATCCTACATTTTTTTTTTACTAAAATTTTGGAACTTACTATGAACTTTCTACAAAGAAAATCAATCTCCTTTTTCACTTTCCATCCCATCTTAATGTTCCTTGACAATCTTAACTGTCCATCCTGTCTCCAAAGGTGTAACAAAGGTGTTTGATGTAACACCTGAAATTAAGTAATCAGTACAGATTAGGCACTTTGGTCTTTTAAATAAAGAGCATTTTGAAAGAACAATTTGTAGTCAAGAAAGAACAAACAGATTTCATTTTAACCTGATATATAAAAAACAGTACAGTACTTGTACGGAAGTTTTGAACTTCATGAATCACTTTCGTGTCAAATACAATCAAATTAATATCACATTTGTTTCCACAGACGTATTAAGCTTTGTTCTGAAGCAATTCTGATTCCAAAACTTGCACAATAGAGTAAAGCTGCTTTTGACTCTTGCTGTTCTTGAAAAGAGGTTCAGTAGAGAAACATGAGAACAGGGACTAAAGCCCAGGTGTTTCCTCTCTTAGATGACTATCATAACCATCATACTAACAAGTGTCTATTTGTCTCCTACTAGCGACTCCAGCTACAGATTTGAATAACAGTGTACTTAAGAATAGTCTATAATACTTCATTAATTTCTTATCTCCCAAATAAAATAAAATTTGATTCCTCTGGAAAAATAAAAAAGCCAAATATATTTAAGATCACAAAAATCCTGAGAGATAAGTCATCATGCTATTATCAAAAAACAACTGCATGGGTGAGACATAGTTCTGATTTTCCTCATTTTGAGTAGATGTGTATTTTGTAATCATTGCCTCCATCTGAGACTCAAACAGCAGTGCAGTTTTGAGTCTCATAATCTTCAACCTCTTCTAGCATATTTTCACCAGTGATGTTTATCTTTAAATAAGTTTCAATTTTTCTGTACATCTCATGGGTGTGATTTTTTGAGCAAATTGTGGACTTTTGAAATTTACTTAATTCTCTCCATTGAAAGATCAATACTTGTTTTGCAAAACTGATTATAATCTTTTTCCTACCACATAAAGCGGTGTTTAAGAATTTTATGTTGCTTTAAACTCATGTATTCATAATATAATTTTCTTTTCTTTCTGGCAAAGATAGATTACCTGTCCCAAATTACTACTCTTGTGATCTATAGTTCTTAACTGGAAGTGCATGGATATCAGAGGAAGTGAACATGTGGCAGCACTTTGTGTTTGAGAAGGACTCTGCTTTGAAATGTGGTCTTAAATTTTTTGACTGCAAGTGCATACATTCCAGTTGCTTCATTTTTCTTAGTCTTAAGGAAAACGGGAAAGACAGGGACAATCCTTAGTGTTTTTCTTGACATGTTATTGTCAGTTATTTTTGATAAAGTGGTTAACAGTTATGGGGTATGCTATGTTTTTCAAAGCTTTAGTTTCACATATTTGTCCCGGATTATCTGTCAATGGTAATAAAATGCAATAGATCTATAAGTTAGAAAAGACACCTCTACTGTATAGCTTTTAAGTATACTTATTCACGATTTCTTAGAAATCAATTATGAAATCTATTTAAGTTTCTATTAGATACATAAATATCATTATGGGATTTGAGGTAAACATGGCAATTTTGTAAAAATCGGAAAAGTACTTTTTTCACAACCATGTAGACTTACATCTGCCATTTACTCACACATCACATGTAACCTGAGTGTTACTTCTCTATGTCTTAGCAAGCACTGACCAGGTCTAGGGATCAGGTCTAGTCATGAGAACGTACTTCAGTTTCCATATCTGTTCTGCTTTCAGCATGTCTACTAAAGGTTGCCGGTATATATAGTGATGTTTCTGTGAATTTTTAATGGTGGTATTTGTTTCCTCTTCAAGGACAAGCAAAACGAAATGAAGCAAAGAAAGCAGGACAAGTCTAAAATTATTTACAAGTTATTCCTCTGTACAAAAGGTTTCAATTGTCTACTTTTAGCAAGCAGTGACAAATAATCTGGAACACGTGGAATTATTTTTTATCTCTCTTGAGTTAAAACATTTTATTCTGACTTCAAATTTTGTTATATTGTTGTGTTATGTCAAAAGGCAGTTGACATTAGTCACATTATGATTTTCTATGGAAAATTTCCACACTGGATTACTGGATTTAGTTCTTTATAGTGCATTAGCTGTTAATAAAGATCCTATAGAAATGTTTTTAGAAAATGAAAATTTGAGATAATTTAGCTATCGATAACAATTGTCACAGTTTGGACAATACACACATTGTTAAGAATGTGTGTGATGGGAGTATTACTGAGAAAATTGATGAAATAGGAGATACTATATCTGTGACATAGACCTGTGAGGGAAGAAAAAACTCCTAAATTGACTAAATTGCAAGGTTGTCTTTCCCCACTCTGGCTTTGGGCCTAAGAGTTCTACTGGAATCCTCTGCCAGATCTACACACCTGCAGTCTTAATTTAGGAAGGTTTTATATAGTAAGGTGTAATTCCTGTTCTAATTTCAGCTAATTTTAGCAGAAACTGTTGAAGAAATATGTGGATCCTTTGCAGGGTCAAAAAGGGGGAATGGTGAAACAGAAGAGACTGATTTTATTGCTCAGTTTTATTCTCTACTGGAATAGAGATGGTTCTGCTGGAAATTATTAGAGCTAATGTTTTTTACAATCTAAAAGCTTCATAGCAAAAAAATCATAGCAATATTAAAATATGTCAGTGTTATGTTACTTTAAGTACAATGTATGTTGAAAAAAGGCTGTATTAAATCCTCTGTCAGAGGTTATCACGATTTCTTACTTACGCTGCGGTGTTGTTCCAAATTACATTACAGCAACATCATTCCATGAAAACAAGATGTCTTTGACTGAATATCTGAAGAGTATTTACTGATAATATAAAATACCATTTTTTTTTTAATACTAGATAGTGCTGCCTGAGATAATAACGAATAATAATTAGTCACCTGTTAATATTTTTGTGAAGTGAGCTATTTCAGATTTTAGAAGTACTACATTTATGCCTGGAATCTAAAGTGAAATCTTAAGCAGAATTTCCATTTTTATACAATTGGGTGTATTATACATGTGCACTGCAAACATAATGATGGTAAGTAACCCTTGTTACTGCCACCAAACGGAGCATGTTCCAGTGCAAGAAGTTAGCAGAACACTTGTTTTTCTAACACAGAAATAAATTGTTAACTTATAGAGACCTGTTTTTACCTTGTCATTTTATTACAGTTAATAAACCTAATATTTAATATTGGTCACAGACCAGTCAGTGTCTTGTAAAACACACCACACACTATCATACTGATGCAAGCAATCAGATGTTTTGGAGAAATGTCGCTGCATCTAATTTCAAAGTAAAAGTACAGTAATCCAAAATGAAAATGTAGGGTATTGAAGATGAATGAAATGGCATGAGTCATTTATTCAGCCTCTTTGCTGCTGCATATTTTTATTACCTGTGTAATCAAGAAAAAAAAAACGCTTGTGAATTATGTGAGGGTGCTTTTTACTGCTGAGATGATTCACAGCTTCGTATGTAAACCTGACAGATTAGAGACTGGCTAGTCTGATTACAAACTATAGTCTGGGATATTGTTTTAATTGAATTAGAATAATTATGCATTCTTCGAAGAGGAATGTCATGGTTGCATGATCATGCTAAAGCAAGATTTGTCTGTCTTAAGGTAATCCTAACTGAGACTGCTTGCTGTCTGTTAATATTGAGAAAGACTTGTGATAAGAAAGTATTCAGAGTGCAGATACTTAATTTTTCCCTTTTCTTTTTAATAAATCTGTTGTGTGTTAATTGCAACATACTGAGAAAGAAGAAAAATTCAGGAAACTTTGAATGTTTATAGTAAGTTGTCCTGCTAGCAGTTCAGATTCTTGTATTGATAATCTTCTTTTCTTTAACTATGTTTTCTTTAAGGCCTTATTCGATTACAAGAGCTCATCAAGGCTCCATCACGATACAACCTGAGACTAAAAATCCGTCAGTTACCAGCTGACACAAAAGATGCAAAGCCGTTGCTAAAGGAGATGAAAAGAGGCAGGGAATTCCATGTAATCTTTGACTGCAGCCATGAAATGGCAGCAGGCATCTTGAAACAGGTAATCTTCGTTTTGCTTCAGATGGCCTAATGTTTTTCATTCCTAATAAATAAAAATAATGGCATTTAACAAGCAGGGGAATTGTATGTCAGTTTACTGAGGCTTAACTGAAAAATCAGTCAAGGATTTCAGAGATAATTTTACTAGTGACACTAATGGTAGCTGCTTTCATGTTTTTTTTTTTTAAAGGAACAGATTAATCAGTTCGTATACAGGGGAAAAGGTACATCAGTCTTTCAACTATGAAAAATCAGTACTTTGGAGAAATTATGTTTCAACCAGGATTTTAAATGCTTGCTTAGATTTTTTTTTTTTTTTTTTCAAATTGAAGTCTCTATATTATGACTTTTAATTAGGTGGTGATATTTGAATAGTATGCTACCAGCAGGCCACATTAATGAGTTCTACTGAGAGGACAGAACTAATAGATACCTTTTAGAAACATATTTTCCTTGCACTACTAATAGGACTGCTAAACACCTGAATGCATTTGTGTAGGTGGTCTGAAAGTGTTTGCTTTGTTGTGCTCAAATAAGATGAGTAGGTGAGGTACAACGAAATTGCAAATTTAACTGGCTTTCTAATGAAGAAGAGAATTTCAGCGATGTCTTCCAAGAGAAGGTGGCAATATAGTGGTACGCAAAGGCAATACAGTGATATGCATAGAAGACAAGCCTTTCTGTGTCTTTAGTTTAATGAGCTAGCTCCCAAGACTGGGAATTTCTTTACACTCAGAGGCCATTTTCCCTATAGTTTTTTTAATTGCACTATGTCTTTCAATAACGAGGATTGGAAGAAGACCTAAACCAAGACAATATCCTACATTTATAATGCATAGCTTTTAGTGACTTCATGTTTTTATTATGCTTGCTAGCATTGCTTAAATTGAAAACAAAATGTGCTTAAGATCTGAAAATACATTTCTCTTGAAAGGTATTTAGGGGTATTTTAAATATTATTGTGGTATTCTAAATGCACAAGTATAGGCATCTGTTAGAAAAGTGCTGCAATTTTTGTCAAAGTCCTGTATAAAATATCATAAAACCTAACCTGCAGCTGATATTTGGAATTCATTTTAGCTTTTAACTTTTCTTTGGACTGGTTACAGACTGGTCATTTGATAAGTTTTCAGACAATGTCAAAAGTAAAAAGGCTCTCAAAGCCTCCAGAACTCTGATGATTGCTTTGTGAAAAAAATCTGGTATTGTGAGAATTAATTGTTGCCTTCAGTATATTTAAGGAAGTGTATCTGGTAGCAACTTAGCAAAGAATTCCATTGATAATTCCTGGAAAGGAAAAAAAAAATATTATTTACTTGTGTAGCTTTTTTACAGTGCTAAAATTGGGTAAAAATCACTGTAGATACTAAAATGATTGAATAAATCATACTTGTCTAAGGTAACTTTTGTGCAGAGCATGCAGATGTGATTTTCAGGTGAACATGTGCTTAAGACTGATGACACATCCATAGTTTATTGCTTTAAAATTGTACCTACAAACATTTGTTGTTATGCTGAACTGTTTATTTAAAAATGCATAATTAATCCAAATCTATGTGGTACTGCATAGTTAGCAAGACAGGTGAAGGTGCTTGATAGATATCTGAGTTTCTAGAGTTATGCTATGAATATTTGTTCTTCCTTTTTACTGAAGTATTATGCATCTTGCTGTTCCAAACTTGACTCGAGAATATTTTCTTCCATGGCTGGAAAAATGTCTACGAGTATAATATAAGCCTAGGTCCTTCTTTTAAATGCACAATATTGTTTATCAAAATAGAAAAACTGTTTCCTGTTAGGTTATTGTTTTTAAGGGAAGGATTCAATAATGAATGAATATATTGTCGACTCAAATTTTGCGTGGCAACTTAATGCATCCATTAGTATGTAAAACTATAAGGCTGTTTCACATTTACTGCACTATACAGTCTAATAATATTCTTTCTATCAGAAGATCTGGTTCATAAATTCCTTTAATAGTCAGTAATCTGCTCTAACTGCCAGGAAATGACTTGCTTGACCTAATTTTAGTATAATTCCAACCCTATAGTCTTATCCCAGTAGTGTTCTTTTGCAGCTTTTCATTGGCCATGTAAGTATGATAAAAATGTATTATGTGACCTCAGAAACATTAATCTTTTGTTTATTTTTTTCAAGGCTTTAGCTATGGGAATGATGACAGAATACTATCACTATATCTTTACAACACTGGTAAGTGGCTTGTAGAAACATAGTGATGACATCTAACAAAGATGTTAGTTTACTTAATTATATTACTTGACAAAGTGAAAAAGGTCTCTCTGGAATGGGGTGTGAGTACAAGATGTTTTCTCTGTTTCTTACGTTCAGTGAAAACTCATCAGGATGGTTTAATTATTATTCAACCGTGAGCCCTGGGAAACTGATAGTACTGAACAAGCAACTCACTCTGTAGCACTGCAGTTTTTAACTTTCAAGCAGGGTTAAGTATATAATTCACAATTAATTATTAATGTTATGAATTTTGTACTTTATCTTCTTTAGATAGTTGTATGTGAAGATTTTAAACTTTTCCATATTTTTAATACAACATTTTACAAGGTACCACTTCACTGTCATATAATTCCTGAATAATTTGGTGTGAATATTACCAGCGTTTTATTTAACAATCCACTTGAAGTTTTTAGGCACACAAATTATGCAGTATTCTTTGGTGTCCATTGAAAAAGTAACTAGGAAGGAACCGTTCTTGGAACTGTCAGATTTAACATTTGCAATAAATGAACATTTAAAATGAGAATGTTCTTACAAAACATAACAAACATGTATGTGAAGTCCTTTTTTTTATTGTTCACCACAGCCTAACTAAGAAATAGTTTAAAAGTTGATAAAATAGTACTTTAGAAACTACAGTTGTGCACGTTTCTCTGTTTTCCATTGTGTTTAAATTTGCATGCTTAGATTGCAGTTCACTAAGGTTCTTAAATTACAATCATTTAAAGAACAAGACAGATGTGCCTTGGTAAAACCATGCTTGAAATGACCCATGTTTAAAGTCACATGCATGTTTAAGTCCTTATAGAAATGTATCCTTCATGATAGGATGGGAAGTTCATCTCAGAATCACAAAACAAAAGTTCATGGAAAGTATTAGCATGGAAATAGCTTGTTAAATAGTAATTTATTGCAAAATAATCTGTGATGTTTATTGGAACTGTAAAGGCAAAATATCCTGCACAAGTAACTGTCTTACTTTAGAAGAGCAAGTTGTCTGTCACTAACAGATTTAGGATTGCATGCAACAGCATTTCTTTCAATAGTCTATCAAAATGGATTCTAGATGATTCCAGGGAATTTTTTATATCTTCACTTTTCACTTTTCTCTTGGTGAAAATAGCTTCTTTGAGTGGTATGCTGTCCACTGGCATTTAATTTTTACACTAAAAGCTATGTTTAAAAATGACGGGTTTCTGTCATTCTTATTTCCTTATTAGAACTTTAGATTATTTTTTTTTTTTAAAGAGACGAGTATTATGTTGACTAGGAGCTATGAAAAGATAATTTAGTGTGCACAAATGGATGGTAGATTCGCAATGTAGCTTTTGAACTACCATCAGACTTCGGTTGTTTGATTTATTAATTGCTTCTTATCTGACATGGTGAAAGTCCTGTCAAGTAGATTTTTCCAGTCACAGTGTTTGCAGCAATCTTCCATGTATTCTCATCTTCATTGATTCAGGGTCTAATGCAGTAGCTCATTAATGCACTGACCCATGTGTCTTTATAATATATGCATAATATTGTTGTGTATATTTATTATATTCCAGTGTAAACATTAATGTGTTTGGATGAAATAATTACATCTGAGGTTCTGACTTTTTTTGCAGTAAAACCAGAGAATTTTTAGAGGAAAGATATACCATAGTTGCATATCTCAGGTATTATATATGGAAGATAGTATCATAATTGCTAGCTGTAATTAAAACTGGCTGATATTTTTGTGGGCTTATTGATGTCAACAATGAATAATGAATTTTATTCTAGCTTTCTGTAGTGCAGCATTTAATCTTCTTCATCTCCAACCAATAAACACAACGGATTCAGAAGTGTTACACCTAACACTTCAATTCCATGGAAATTTATGTTACAGTGCTAGCAAAATATAAATTAGGAGATTGAGATGAATAAGTATGAATTAGGTGGAAAATTCCTATGGTCAATTAAACTAAAATTATGATACAAGACAGTAATGTCTTAAGTAGAACCTTGATTATGTCACTTAAAAAATTATTTAAAAGGAAACAGAAAATTTGTTTATAATACATAGCTAGGCCTAGTGACTCATGACTGTTTTTTTTCATCAACTTCATTTTTTTTTTTTATTTCCCATATTGAAAACATGATCTTAGACCTGGGTTTCCTGAAGACAAGTACTGGTTCTACACTGTTTATAAGAATTCTGTCAAAGGATTAGGATAATCTCAACTTTACTTGCTTGATCTAAAATTTGATTAATTTTATATGTTTTAATTTATATATGCCTCTTTGTGTGGTGGGGGATTAAGTATACAGACACAAGTATGTATGTATTTAAATACATTAATTGGCAAAGTTTATTCTTGCAGAGATAAATTCCTAGTTAAAGATATGTCCATGTTTGGAAGTATGAGTGATAGCTGTGAAAAATTCTTTTGGTTAAATTTAAAGCCAGATACCTTCCCCCTCCTCCTTCTCCCCAGTTTATCATATAGAGATCAACATGTTCAAGTTTCATAGAAAGTGAAGGCACAAGGAAAGTCTTGTTCTGTTTATTTTATGATTTGAAGTCTGTTATGGTAAGCCAAAGAAGTCGCAATTAATAATAGTATTTTTGGTAAATAATAATAATTATATTATTTAAGCTATTTAACTAGTAGTGGATACAGTTCCTCGACTGGATTTAGCATTTCCTGAAAACTTGCTTTGTTTTGGTTTGTTTGGTTTTTGGTTTTTGTTGGTTTTTGTTTGTGGTTCTTTTTTTGGTTTTGTTTGTTTCTTTATTTTTTGGTTTGTTTTCTGTTTTGGGGTTTTGTTTTTTTTTTTCTAAAAAAGGCAGTTGAAGCTGCTCTTCCTGTCTGAATCAGGTTATTCCGACTATAGGCTCAGCTGAGTTCCTTGCACACAGTCACAAGCTCCACACAAACAAAGCATATTTCCTAGCATATATGTATGCTATATGTATAACACTGTTACTCTGCAAATTTCAGTGCTCTCATCTAGGTAGTTGGTCTAACAATTGAAATGGGAATTGCAGTGTATTAAAGAATTTATATGATGGCCATTTTTTTCAGGACCTGTTTGCCTTGGATGTGGAACCCTATCGGTATAGTGGTGTTAATATGACTGGATTCAGAATTCTAAACACGGAAAATACCCAGGTGTCATCTATTATTGAAAAGTGGTCTATGGAGCGCTTGCAAGCACCTCCTAAGCCTGATTCAGGTTTGCTGGATGGATTTATGACGGTATGAATATCAGTATTTAGTTCCTTTCTTTGTATATGTTTGTGAAGCTAAAAAAATTTTTAATATTTTATTTCTGTTACTAAATTTTTTTTGAGGTATGAAACCAAATATTATTATAAACATGAGTAAGAGAGTAACTGTGGTGTTTCTGCTTATCTGTAAACTGAATACATGATCATATTAACTTTCTTTCAAAATTACACTTACTGTATTTTCTCCAAGTGACACTGCCATATTTTAAATATCTAATTCATCTAGTCACAATTACGTACATGCAATTTCTAGGTTTTCAGTGAGTTTCTGCTCATTACTTGGAATTAAATCTAGAATTACAAAGTCAGGAAGGGATTTATTTTAAAATATATCCTACATTAGGAGCTCTTTAGTTTTCAAGTTTGTTGAAAGATATAATTTCCACTTTGTGTCTGAGCAATTTGTAATATCTTTGCTGTCAGAGTTCCACTGTTCTTTGGATATTTTTTTTAATATTTGTTTTAGAAATGTTTGCATGTTCCATTTGACAAATAGCAAATTTTATTTCTCTATGTTACCTATCAGTTGTCTATCTTGTGTTAATTGAAGCACATAACATGGCTAATCATTTGAACAAAATTTTTCTACTTAATTTTATAGTCATTAGATACTAAGTGACAATCAATATTTTAAGAAGTTAATTTCCTTTTCATCTTTTTTTTTAGAAAATACCCTTTGTAGAGTAAAAAACTTTTCTTATAATTACTTGTGTAGAGTGTCTTGTACTTCCCATAGTACAGTACTTTAAAAGTTACATTGCATTCCCTTATTTATGATTCACAGAGTTCCCAGTCATAATTCTTGTTTCAGTTTGTTTTCTGTAGTCTTGTATAACTCTGTAATTACTATGTAATTTTCCTATAATTATCTGACCTTTAGTATCCCAATGTGATAAATTATGGGTATAAAATTTAATCTGGTTTCTTTGGAATGTTCCAAGTCAAATTTCCAAGTGTGGATCTTAAATTATGAAGACTGAATATTTTTGTTAAATACTAACAATATTGTCATCTGTACTGTATTAATGGAAAGTTATTCTGGGAAGTAGAAGAGTGACATACTATTTTCAAGAAACTTTACCTTGGTATACTTGACTTCTTATTTTTGAGTCCATACAAGTAGCACAAAGAAAGAGAAAAAATGCCACAAATCCCTGAGCATAAATGATCTTCTATATTTATATACAACAACTATGATTCAGACCAAGCATGGAAGAGCATTAATAAAGTGTTCTTATTTCTGATTTGTTTTTACTGTGCAACAATTAATCCTCCAGTTTTCTGTACACCAAGTCAGACCTTAGCATGCGTAATTAAAATGACCTAACAAGCCCTGATGCTTCATTAACGGAAAGTTGTCCTTCCTGATTGCTTTTGCCATCTGATTTAGTTATCTGTTTTCATCTTACATGGAAAGGAGTGTCCTTTTTGTATTCTGACAATTTCTTCTAATTTTTAACGTTCACTTTAGTAGCTGTATATGCCAGGTGCAAGAAAGCACTGTGCTATTTGATGAATGCTATTGCTAAAGTCAGTATTAAAGTGTTTTTCTCAGAAAAATCATAGTTTTGATCTGATATTTTTTGTAGGGTGCTGTCATGTTTTAAGCCCAGCCAGTAACTCAGAACCACGCAGCCACTTGCTCACTCCCTCTTCTTCTTTCCCCCACTCCAGGAGTGGTGGGGAGGAGAACTGAAAGAATGTAACTCCCACAGGTTAAGATAAGAACAGTCCAGTAAATAAAGTATAACACAAAAACACTACTGATACCACCAATAATAAAAATGATAAGAAAATAACAAGGGAAGGGAATACAACTGCTCACCACCTGCCAGCCGATACCCAGCCTGACCGGAACAGTGATCTAGCCCTTCTGGGTAACTGACCCCAGTTTATATACTGCTCATGACGTGCTGTGTTATGGAGTACCTCTTTGGCTAGTTTGGGCCAGGTGTCCTGTTTCTGCTTCCTCCCAGCTTCCTGTGCCCCTTCTCACTGGCAAAGCACGAGACTGAAAAAGTCATTGATCAGAGTAGACATTACTTAGCAACAACTAAAAACATTTGATGTGTTATCAACGTTGTTCTCAGACTAAATTTGAAATTACATCACTGCTCCAGCTACTAAGGAGAAAAATGGCTGCTACAGCTGAACTCAGGACAGCTGCCTAGCAGAATGGAGCATTATTTAACTGTATGTTTTCTCTTTCTGCTCTTAAATCTGTTTTCCTGCCACTCCTCCCTTCCCCCCCCCCCCCCTATTTTTTAAAAATGTCTCCTTTCTTTTCTGGATATAGGGTGCTTTTCAAGCTTAGGTGCTCTCCAATGTGAAACAATATTTCTCAGGAAGTGAAATCTATTTGTAATAAAATATAAGAGTGATATTAGATACTCAGGGAAAAAATGCAGAGATTTGTTGCACGCCCAGGATGGTTCATTCATGTATATGAGATTTTCATCTCCTTAAAAAAAAGGAAAAAAAAAAGATAAGATTTTATTAATAAAGTTTTAAAATTTTTAAAACTGATGTAGGGACTTCCTCAGATAAGGAGAACAAATCCAGGGATTTTGTCTTTAAAAACATAATTGTAGTAAAGATCTAAAAATTATGAGCAAAAGTGCTAATACCTTCATACATTGTCCCTAATTGAAAGAATACACAGATGCATTCACTCCACAGAGCTGTCTAGGAAATTAATTTCAAAAATAGCCATTTTGAGGGATACAGTAGAAATGTTGAAGTTACAATTGCTTTGGAATTCGAGAATGAAAATCAGAGAATAGGTTTGGATTCGTAAATGTGTAGGTATTTTCCCCTAAGGAGCGTTCCATATTTGCACGCTTAAAGACTCAGGGAACACATTTATATGTGCTTACTTTGTCCTCTATTTCCCTTGATTAACTTCCCTAAGAAACCTCTCAATGTCCAGACCTTATGAATGTCCTGTGAAGTCTAGTTTATCTGACTGTTCACCTTCTCAGCTTTGTGTCATGGTTTAAACCCAGTCAGCACCCCCCCCTCCCCCCCCCCCCCCCCCCCCCCCCCGCTCCTGGAGGGATGGGGAGGAGAATCGAAATAATGATAAGAGAAATAACAAGGGAAGAGAATATGATACCACCTGCCGAAACGAGCTCTACTGAGAAGAGCGTGCCCTTCTGGGTAACTCCCCTGGGCATGACGTGCTGTGGTATGAAACCCCTTTGGCTAGTTTGGGTCAGGTGTCCTGTCTCTGCTTCATCTCCGCTTCCCTTCCTCTCTGGCAGAGCATGAGACTCACAGTCCTATGGCCAGCCTAAACATTTGAGCAGTAACTAAAAACACTGGTGTTATCAGCTCTGTTCCCAGGCCAAGAAGTCAAAACACAGCACTGCACCAGCTACTAAGAAGGAGAAAAAATGACTGCTGTTACTGCTAAACCCAGGACACTTTGTTATTTCAATTCAGTATTCTCAAAAGCTTTGTTGAATCCAATGGTAAGACAAGAATTGCTAAAAAAAACCCAAGAATGGTTGAAGGATGAGTATAGATGCACAACAGTGGTGTATTTTCAGTTGCATTAAATCTATGTGTTTGAAAAATCCTAACACCCTGTATTGAATTGGACCAATACATGAAGACTGTGTTAAATGGTCAGCTCTCATCAGGTGAATCAGCCCAAGAATCATGTTAAACTAATTTGGTTAAGCTAATGCAGCTGGAAAATGTACTTTATCCCACCATAGACAAGACTGGAAAAGATTAAGAGTGTTAAGGAAGGCTTTGAAACCATGGTACTTGAAGCTTAAGAGCCATCTGAAATATAAAAATCAAGAATTAAAAAAAAGTGATTCAGTTTTTCTATTATGCTATAACCAAGGCTTAATGATGGAAACATAGTCTATTAGCAATACTAGCAATTTGTATATTTAGTTAATTTTATTTTTTAATCAAATTTTGTTCTGTACCTCAATTTCTTAGTTTCTCTTTCAGTGTTCTCCAAAATTCACTGCTTTTTTTTTTTCCACCCAAATGAAGCAAAAATTTATGGTGTCATCCATGGTTTTCTTTCAGCACACTTCTGGAGTTTGACTTACTCAATTCATCCTGGAAGTAAGGGTATTCAATAATTGTATAAACCAATATAGACAGCGTGGTTATTACACTGGATACTAATTCTGCACTGAGATAGGAAGTTCTCAAATTTAGTTTTGTTTGTTTTTTTTTTTGTTTTTGTTTTTTTAATAGTTATTTTAGAGAAGATAAGACTTATAATATGTTGTTACAAACTAGTAATTTTATTACTCTAACAGTAAAAGGATATTTGTGAAACTACAATTTCTTAACTCTGCCTAACAATACAGAAAAAACAGTTATATTTGAGATAGAAAGTTAAATAATAATTTAGTAACTGCTAGCAAGCACTGTGACTGGACAAGATTTGATGAGAAAATGGTGGTGTTCAGGTTCCTGAGGGTGAAAAGATCCATGAAAATAAAAAGAAATATTAATTATAGAAATACAGCTTTGGATTCTGATTTAGAGCTTCAAAGAGGATAGCTTGTTATGTAGACAGCTTTATAATTATCCCTTTAGCAAAAGGAATTTTCTGGATCTGCTGATGAGATGTGTAGTAAAATAGTGTGGCAGCAAATGTGTACTTCAAAGGAAATACTAAACAACTACTTATTACTGCATTACAAGCTACAAATTTCCCCTAGACACAGTTAACTTCATGAGTTTAGGGACTATGCACAATTTCATGCTGTAAGATGTTTTAAAAATTCTATGTCAGCTATCTTGAGAATTAATCACATTACTAAATGTTTGATTCTTGTATGTAGTCTTTCTTGCTATTTTAGGAGACGTGATCTATCAGAAATTTGTAATCCTGTCCCGAAGGAAAGATATACCCAAGTGTTGTATAGAATTTAGCAGAAATTGTAGCTTCTCTCCTATGGGAGATTTCATTGAATTCTTTCAGATGTTGTT